CACTTGTCAAACATTTAAATAATAAATATAATAAATGGACATCGTTAACTGCATTAAACGAAATAGCAATGAGGTTGGATGCAAATTTTGAAACATAGTATGTAGGAAAACATACCACAATGTTCTTTGCAAAATGAAAAGGACGAACAAAAGAAAAAGAAAAAAACAAATGTCGGCTTCAATTAGCAAAATGTGACAAAACAAAATTTCCACCATCTCTACACTACCAATTGTCATAACTCATAAGTATCCACAACTGGTTATTGAGATCAGTTAAGAGAATAATTATGAAAAATCACTTAGTGAAAGTTAGCACCCACAGTCACACACATGACATAACCAAGAACTTCACAAGTAAAAGTTGTTAAAAACTTTTCTCCCAGCACACACTAGGACAAAGGACGAGAGAATACTGCAGAACGAGAAAATGAGAGAGATCAAATATTAGGCATATAATGGTCCCTCTAAATGCAGCCAATTCACATAACTGGGCACCATATGCAGTGTTTTCGAAACCGGGTAATCCAAATTCTTATTTCAACACGATTTAACACTCAACCATAGAACTTACGAGTTGACCATCAGAAATTGGTCAAAAAATGATCTTTCAATATTTCAATGGTGTGCTATTCTGTCTCATAAACATTCTTCTCCCCTTAAGGATCCTCTTAAACAGTAATAATAAAGAACGGTCACAAAAACGACCACCGTGTTAATCTAGCCGGCTGTTCGCTTCTCAAAAGAGTGAAGGACCAGATAGTGTTTATTATTAGAGTAAACTCATAGAAGAAATTATGTGTTTGTCTCTGTGAGTATGTGAAGAATAAAAAAGGGGAAACTAATTAAAGATGATTAAATAAATGGGAGATTTCTGCAAAATTCAGCAGCTAAATGACCAACAAGAACAGGAAGAAACCCTAAACAACCAAACCAAAAAAAAAAATGCTCAGAATCAATATTAACGATGACAATTACAGTCAGAAAATTCAAGATAGCCCCAAATTCCACACATAAATAAATAAACAAAAGAAACCCTAAACCCCAGCTGAAATCTAAAAAATGAATCAAAATTACCAAACCCTAATAAAGTAATATCGAGTAAATTTACCGGAATATACTTGAATTTCTTCCTCGGAGTCTCTTCAGCTGCGACGACGTCGTCCTTAGCGGATTCAGCATTATCGTTGCCATGGCTACCGTCCTTAGCTTGATTCGAGGCTACGGGAGTCCACTTAAGGAGCAAGAGATTGGATCCGTTGTTACCTCCGTTGGTCGCCGTGGTGTGGTTGGAATTGGGCGGCGGTACGTGAACCCACCTCTTCTTCCAGCGGCGGACTGGGCCAGTGAATACGGTGGTGGGGCCGTAACGGGTCGAGGATCGGCCGAGTCTCGCCCCAACTCCCTCCATTGTAAGGGGTAGAGCGACGGTGACGAAAGATTCCGGTGGGCGGCTGGCTGGATTTGGGAGGGCCGCTGTGTACGGCTGCGTATGTGCGTGTATTTCTCTCGCTCCCAATTGGAGAGTTTCTCTTTTTAGTCATCAATTAACTTTTATAAGTTTTATGTATGTATCTAATAATTAAATTAATAAATTAGATAAATTGTATATCACATTGAACTAGTATGTAACCCGTGCGATGCACGGGCTGTATTTACTTTGGAGAATATTAAAAATTAAAATGTATTAATAAATAAAAGAGTGATAATTCGTAGGAAAATTATCAAACCATAAAATGTTCCTCATGCAAAAAAATATAGTATTTAAATTTTCTTGTACACAACATTATTTGTTCAATAACTGTGCAACTCGTCGTCCCCACAAACTAATATTTTCAACACTTTTCTATTATTTACACGCGAAACAAACAACATAATTGTCTGTGACTAAAAATTGATTTCTTTAAGAACATGCCAACGTACAATAAATGTTGATCTTGACTCTTCTTGATCTATTACTTAACATGCCAACGTACAATAAATGTTGACCTTGACTCTTCTTGACCTATTACTTACACGTGTAACAACATACAATTGGTTGTGATCAAAAAAAGATTTTTTTAAGAACATGACAATGCACATCTCTTATCTATTACTTACACGTAAAAATAACAACATATAATCGGTCGTTGCTAAGAACCGATTTCTTTAATAATATGCCAACGCACATAAAGACTGACCCTGGTCTTAAATGAAACCCTAAGATTAGAAGTAACTGGTGCTCTAGAACTTAAATGCAACCTAAGATGGATCTTTTTATAATATGATAATTTACTTAGACAGTCAGACAATGAGTTGTTAGTTTAATATCGATTATACTTGATTAGCTATATAATATTCACTAATATTTCT